GATATGGTTCATGGGGTCACGAAGAGTCGGACACGACTTAACAACTGAACAACAACAAAAAGATATGAACTGGATTTGATTTACCAGTGGCAATATATGAGAAGCCAAAGGTTAAAAAAAAACAAAAAAACAGTTCTTGAAAGTACCCAAGTTTCTTAATAGCTGCTGAATTTTTGAAAATTTAACTTTCTCATATCCTAAGTTTTACCAAATAATTAAACAAATCAATTGTCTTAAGGGACAGTTCACACACCAATTTCCTTGCTCAGGTATTCATTCATAGCCAACCCCAGAAATATGAATGCACAGAGGAAATTAACATGAGAAGAGATGATACACAGATAGCAAATTGATAAACCCAATGAGAGGCAATGTCATTTAGGATTAAGGAGACCCAGGTTCTAACCTCCACTCAGCCATGAAGTTGAGTAGGTGATCTTAAAGCAGTCTCTTTAGATTATCTCTGCCTAATCTGGAGTCAAAAATCATCCAACTGATGTTACCAATAGGGAGTCTGTGAGATGGTTGTATTATGTATAGGATTTTGCTCCATTCTCCTGCAGTCTTATTTATATTTATGTTGAATTGTTTTTAATGGTTTTTTAGACTTGTTTGTTTTATTGTACATTGCCCAGAGTCCTGTTTGTGAGATGAGTGGCTATATAAATTTGTTAAACAGAAAAATGAATTGTTGCCTTTGAGTATCTGGATAGGAACAGTGGGATTCTTAGACACTGTATGGGGAAAAGAGAAACCATGGCAAGTGCACATGTGAACCAACCCTTAATCTCAAATGGGAAAAGATCAAGAAGCATTCTAGCCACTTGGAGGCAAAGCCATTTGGCAGGAGCAGTACTGGGATGTTACCGTGTGTTTAGCAGCTCAATCTCAGTGCTCTTCTCCTTCTCATATTTGCTGTAGGCTTCTCTGTGCCTCTTGATCTCTTCTTCCAAGGTCTGTTGAGCTGAAGTCTCCTGGTCTTTCAGTAGTTCTTCTAACTCATGCACTCTAGTGTAATTATGCCACATAGATTTAGTTCAACAGATTTATTTGGCAGTAACACATTTGAATTATTTTAGCTATCCGCTGGATTTAGCATTTCCTACAAAAGTTGTTTTCTGTTTATATGGCCTTCTCCAATCTGCTCCCAGAGATACAGCCCCTTGCTGAGCATCCAAGAAACTCCATTTATGAACATTTCTGCAAATAATATATCAATCACATCCTCCCATTCCCAAACATCTGAAAGAATGGTCCAAAACAGTTGGGTTCCATCCCTTCTGATGACATCACCACATCACTTGATGGCCTTTTACAAGGCTCTGGAAGTTCCCCAATGTAAAACATTGGCCTCAATTGTGATGTTTTGACACATTAAACTATGGACTACATTTAGGAAATTCCCTTCTCTTTCTTGGATGGGAAAGTAAAAATAAAGTGTTGTTTCTTCTGTGCAATGTATATACATTAGCCTCCATCGAGAGCATCTTGTTCTGTTAATCCAGAAGGCCAAAGAAAACTTCATTGAAGGAGACTTTCCTACCATATCATAATGCTACCCTGTTTTCAAGCCATCCCTGTTCAAGCCAGACTTTTTTTTACCTGTGAACTAGGTGTGTATTCTCCTGTTTCAATTTACTCTTCAGGTCACCATTTGTTACAGTATCATTTTCCAGCTCTGTCACTTTTTTTTCTAAGTAAGTCACCTACAAAAGGAAATAGGATGTGAGTTTCTTCCCTGCTGAGCCCACAGGAAATTGAGTAGTGGAGAAAGGTCGAAATGCATCTCATCCATTCCTTTAGTATCAAACTATCTTTCTATAGAAACTTTGCATTATTCTTCCATCTTTGGTCCAATTAAATTACTTATCAACGTCCATATAAATTAAGCTCAGATTGCCCAAGTACAGCCTTCCCAACTACCAGATCTCAAATCTCAGAGTTACTATATTGACTCAGGTCTTTCAGAAGTTGGCAGTACAACAAACTAGAATGAAACAAGGCCTGGAGCATGCTAGTCTGTGGAAGGCTGCACCAGACAACTTCATTCTTTATCTTTCATGCATCAACCAATTCCTGAGTTTTTTCTTCAGTGGGATGCAGAAACAGCTCACCTTTTCAGTGATATCATTGTCGCACGAATCTATGCTATCTCTGAATAAGTCCTCTGTGCTGCCATTACTACTGCTGAAATTGCTGTTGTGGAAAAGCTGCCTGTAAAGACAAGAAAACATTTCAACATTTTGAAAAGCACTTGTTGGAAAAGGGGCTTCAGAATATGATTTCCTTGGGATTCCGGCTTTTGGTGGGATGGTGAAAGGGAGGGTGTGAATGGCCCCTCTCAACTCTATAATTCAGTGGGGAAGCTTCCAGTGTTGGCAAACTACAGGGAGAAAATGCCACTAATATTCAATGCAAATATTTAATATTAAACTGCACGGTAATTCTAAAACAACATTTTAAAGTAAGAGCAGAGCTATGAATTTGCAGCCTCGGTTTTCCTAAGTACAGAAGCTTCTGCATGCAGCAAGGGAATGTGCTGGGATGTCCCTTCAAGGCAGATCACTCTCATGTGAGAGACAACCTGATTTAATCTCATTGTTGTCTCAGCCACAGGAGTTCAGGTCCCTGATATCTTTAATGAGGAACCCCCAAAATCCCAGCCCTAGGAAACAACCAGCTGCATTTTCATACCCTCCACAAATTTCCTCAGCTCTTTCTTTAGCTGAGATCTTTCTTCAGAGCAGGCTGACACTTGAAACAGCAGTGCTGCAATCATCGGTGCATTCACCAATCATTATTTTTAATTAATTTTTAATGGTGAAAGTATCATGCAAACAAAGTCCTGAAAGTACATATACAACCGTCAGCCATAGTTTGGTGCCTGTAGTATCAACTTCTGCAGAAAGGTGGCTTTTACAGGAGCAGTTTTGTGGGTCTGACTTGCATGGAAGGAGATAGTGAAGAATTCTGGATCACACAGAGCCACCCCCCAGAGCCTCACTCACTGCATTCTGCCCACTTTTTACAGGGCTGAGGTATCCTTCACTTTTGCACTAGAACTGAAGGAAACCTTAGCAAATGCAAAATCAGGATCACTGAATCATGCCTGTCCTGTGTAACTATCTTAACGGCTTCTCTACTCACTGAGGGCTAGAGGATTTTTTTCCTTTTCTTTTTTTTGCCCAGCCAAAACATGCCAAGTAGAAACTCAAGGAGAGGATGTTTTTTCCCCCAGCAACATATCAAAGAACACAAAAAACTCCCCTTATAGACTTTTTGCATGAAACAGAAAAAAATGCACTTATGATTTGTGGTTTTGATTAAAAAAAAAAATCTGGAAAATAGAAAAAAGTGAGTTTTGGTAATCATAGAGTAAGAGATAACTTTGTAATCATACTTATATTTGCTGCAAAGGAAATCTGAAACTTCTATTTCTTTTTATCTTTTCTCATTGCACTTTTGTCTTTTGTCTTTCTCTTTTTCCTTCTTTGTTTTCTTTATTCTACATTACTTTGTCGGTTTTTATGTTTCCTTTAAAACTTTTAATAAACTTTAATATATATATACACACACAAAAACCTGCTTAATTTCTGCCATTTTAGTTTTGATGCAGAAGGGATGACTGACTGTGAAGTAGCTTGAAACTGAAAAAGGTTGTCTTTACTGCAGATCAAAAGGTTGACTGAATTGCTCCTGACACAACTGAATTTAGATATTATTCAAACTGCATGGCTCTTCCTCCCCCATGCAAATTATCTAAGTGTGTTTGTAACTGTAAATGATAAGATTTGATAATAAACCACAATGTCTCTTACCTGCCAAAAGCCGTACTAGAGATCTTCCTGTTTGGGCTAGAATAAACAAAAAATAGATGCAGGAGATTTTAATTGCAATAAACGTTCTCCCTATAATTCTGGAATATAGTTGAGGCATTAAAACACAGTATAATTGCAACCTGAAGACTTCTTACTGGACAGCAAGCCCCACTGAATTTGGTGGGTGGGCTTCTGAACCAGGTACTGAGGCCTGCACCACAATCACCTGCTCACAATGAGACCCTTTTCACAGCAGACTGAGACAAGCAGCATTTAAAAGGTTGAGAGCCATCACTCAGTCTCCTGGCCTTATGAAGGGACAAAGAAGGCCATCTGATGATGCTCTGATAATGCATCAGAAGTGATGTGACTGACCCTTTTCAGATCACTTTTGGGTTTTGGAGGAGTTAAAAATGGGGTGGGAGGGTCACCCCTGGCAGCAAACTGTTTCCATTCCTACCCTTGAAATCACTTAAACCCCTTAAAAATAGCCCCAAATTGCACCACAATCTTGGGATGCAGGGTAGGTCCCAATTACGATGCTGTGGGGAGTTGCCTCCTTGTTCACTTTCCCCCACTGTCCATTTCTGAGAACAGGTAGCTGTTGTGTAACTTCAAGGTTGTGCTGTATATATGTAAGAAGAGTCCTGCCTGATGAGACCAAATATATACCTAGTCCAGCATCCTGTGCCCTCACAGTGACCAACCAGGTTTTTTTTTTTTTTTTTTTTTGGAAGCTGACAAACATTGCTGCACTAGTTTCCTTCCACTGTTGCTTCCCACCTTTTGGCACTCAAGAATCATTATACCTTTGTTTCTGGAGAAAACATGAGGCCCTCATAACTGATTGTCATGGATGATTTTATCCTCCAACCATGAATCTTATCCCCTTTTAAAGCTACTCACATTGGTTAATATCACCATAGCATATAGCAGTGACTCCCATAATTATAAGTATGTAATGCACATAGCAACTTTTTAAAAAAAGATCAACAGAGTAAATTTTTAAAAAATTAGTCACTGAAAGACACAACACTAAGAGAGCAACTCTTTACTGTATTTTACATCTGTTACACAGCTCCACAGGGGTTAAAGAAATTTGCATGACTGATTTCTTAAATGGGAAGTTAAAGCTGCCAAAAGAGATTTAGAATCTCTTTTTTCAATTCAGGGATATTTTTTAATATTGAGGTGTGTATTTTATTGTTCTTATTTTGTTTTATTTCTCATTTTTGTTGCTGTTAGCCACCAAGTTCATTGCCCGTTTGGATGGAAAGGTGGACATAAGATAAATACATACATAAAAACTAACATTTAATATTGGCAGGGTTTTGCTTGATGAAACTGTGGGAATGGCACCATGCACAGGCAAGTAGCACAGGAACAGAAACAGAAGAATTACAAAAATAAATCTCAGTATAAAATGGAAGAAAAAAAAGAGCCAACAGGGCAGAACCTGATCCACTATGGAAAAAAAAAATAATGCTCTTTCTGTCAACAAGTAATCAGAGTTAACACATAAAACAGGAATCTCAAAAAGTCAGAATTTTCCAGGGTTAGGCTGAGCTCACAATGGCAACAATTGAAGTTCAGGGGAGGTAGAGAAACTCAGTGGTTGCTGTCCAATGAGTCACACCTTGGGATTGAGTGTAGGACGGGTGTAAAAAGGCAAATGTTGAATTCATATCGGTAGGAGCATTGCACAGAAACAGTCTCATCCCAAAACACAAAATCTTATATATTTTCCCCAAAACCTGGCCCCTGAAATTTTTTTAATTAGGAAGACCAGGGACCGAACCTGGAATTTCCAGGCAAAAGAAAAAAAAATGCATCAATTCTACCACTGTGTTACGTCCCATCCTATTAACTATTTAAAAGGCTGTTACATGGATGATGGGGAAAAGATCAGTCACTTTATCTTCTATATACAGAGCAAGGGGGAAAAAACTGTCCTTAAGCCAAGATAGCAAAGAGTGACTTATCCCCTGCAGAGGACACGAGGCCTGTTTTGTGTTGTTCCAGCATTAAGACAGTACAGTAAAAACCAGGATTTTTCAACCTCAGCAGCTTTAAGATGTGTGGACTTCAACTTCCAGAATTCCCCAGCTAACATGCTGGCTGGGGAATTCTGGGAGTTGAAGTCCACACATCTTAAAGGTGATGAGTTGAGAAACTCTGGTATAAACTGAGCTTCAGCCAAAGCCTTTGGCAGTATTCAGTGTGAGTATAGGAAGCTAAAACCTTACACAAACACACTGAGTAGTGTAGCATTCAACACACATGTACATACTGTATACTTGAGACATTCAGGAAACCAAAGCTTGGATCAAATCAGCAAGGCCAATTTCTGATCCACTAGATATGCTAGCTTATTTCTCAAAACTTTTGTGGCACTAGTGCTTTACTCAATGATAAAAATGCATTCATTCAAGATAGCCCATCCCTTAACACCAAGAAATAGGTTTTACTTACTAAATTATAAACTGAATAACAAACTTCTACTGAATATCTTAAAAGGGCCTTAAAACTGAGATCTCACTGCCACTCAGAGCATTCAGTTAAAAGGTTTACAAGTCTTTTTAGAAGCAAGGATCACTAGATTCAATGGGACTAACTATCATGAAGGTGCGTGTAGCCCTGCAGCCTAACATCATCAACAAAATAATTGGTTAACTACCACCATTATAAAATGGTATCCTACCCTGGCAAAGCTTATTTCACTAAAAAAAATCAGAGATAGTTGAATACACTCATTCCTGACATGCTTTTCAGCAGATCCCAGGTGAAACTCCTTAGGACTTATTCACCTGTTGGCTTTTAGGTTTTTCAGCCTGGCTTCCAAATCATTAAGCAGGTTGATTTTCTTGCAGCACTGTGTGCAGTAGACATCTAAGAGCTCACTGTTATAGATGTGCCTCATTTTCCGTGGGGTCTGACCAGCACTGTTGGTGGAAAGGCAAATAGTTATTAAATGAGATCCTGCAGGCATTATGAGGTCAAAAATCAAGCTGGGTTCTGGTTTTGTTTTCTAATGAAACTCTGTATGGCTCTTTATAGCCATACTTACAGCAGCTGCTTTTTTAATCCCATTATTCACAAACAGATTTACAAGCACCTCCTTAATCTCAGGATGCTTGATGTGTTTATGGTAGAAGCTGGTGGGATGCTATCTGTTCTATATACATTCCACTTTTTTTTTTTTTTTATCCAAAGGGAGGACTTGCAAGGTCCATATAACCACTACACAGATCAATTAAATGTAGCCAAAATATGTCTCTCTTCAAGCATTTCGTGACTGTCAATTAAATAGCTATTATTCTTTAAACCAGCTCTTTTAAAAATATGCATTTCAGAATTAAGGGAGGTGAGGTTCTTCTCAGCCATACTCCATTAAGGAAGGTTATCAAGCCAGCCAGCCTCTGGGAACAACCCACTTCCTTCACTACACCAACTCTCTATCAGGAAGCAAACTGGGAAGAAAAAAATTGTGAAAACTAAGTTGTCCTCCAGATGGAAGGACGAAGAATGGATTTGAGTTTCCACTCTTTTTCTCAATGTGAGCTCTATTCATGGACATAAGTAGAGGTCTTGAAATCCTCAGACAAACCTCTCAGATGCACCCCTCCAGCCCCCAGCAGTGAGAGAGTTCTGGTGCTGAACACCTTCCTCACACAGCATTAATTGAGGGCAGCTGGAGAAAAAGAGGGGAGTCACTGCTGCTGCTCTCTGCAGGAAGCCTGGGGTCTCCTATGCTTGCAGGCCCTAAGGTGGCTAATTCCTGCTTTGACTATCCATACACCATTAGTCCAATTTATCTGGTGCACTTGGGGAAAAAATATACCGTACAAAATTTCCAGTCCACACAAGCAATAGTAATTTCCAATTCTTTAACAAGACTAAAGATTCCATATAGAATTATCCTGCTATTCAGATTTTCCATTAGTGTCTTTCAGTTCTGATATTAAAAATCACACATACAAAAGTATTTTCCGTGCCAACTTGCAAGATTTTTTAAACATTATTTATAAACTTGGATAAGATGATATGCTGCATTTCCAATTCACTGTCTTTGGATTTGAGAAAGATACTTGGAAGATTTCTGCCAAAAGAAGGCAGAGGCAAAATCTGGAGTTAGCATTCATGAATAGCAAAGCAACTGATTAAGTCACGGTTATCTTCCTAAGCCCTTTCTCCACCTCCAACTCTAAAGTGAGGATGTGGGGGGAGGCATTACATATATTAAAGTAGCCAACCTGGAAGAAACAGATGAACCAAGGTCAGAATAAGCATGTGTCCTGCTTTCATCATCAAGACAAGGACTGCTGGGGGTGAAGTCTACATCATCTCCTTCTCCATAGTCTTCAAACTGTTCTTCATTACTGATCAGGGAGGCAGTGGAATAGGTGGAAAGATCAGAAGATGCAGAAGGATTCAGCAGACTTGATCTTGGGAAAAAGTAAGGAAACATCAGGACACAATTAAAAGGGCAGTCCTAACAGTAAGCTTTCCACTCTCAAAACCCAGAAAATGGTTCCAAAAAATGGAGGACATCAGTCTGAGAAGATGGGCTCAAATGGGACAGAAATATGTTAAATCAGCAAGCCAAAACACAACTGAGAGGAAAATTCAAAGAGAAGGGGACACATAAAACTCTTTCCTCCTCCCTATTTTTCATGTCACTTGTCTACATTTTCTAATGCAGAGTGACATTGCTATAAACAATTTTTATACCATAAAAATATAGTCTCCTCTTGATGCCTTTATAGACACATCCATGTAATTTTCTTGGCAACAATATTGAAGTGGTTTGCCATTGCCTGAATATATAAACTCATCTAAGAACAGTGTATAATTAGAAATACTCATTCCTAATATATACCAGATTGTGATTCATATATACATAGTTATGAGTTCCTGGAACTTGGAACTTGCTGAAATGTACCCTTCCCTGCCAAGCTCTCTTTCTTCTTCCCGCAACTGCTTCACATTTTCCTTAGCAGTTGTCTGTACCTTCATGGGGAAGCTCACATCACTTGTATAGAATATAAGTTCTAGACTGGGGTGGGCAGCTTTTTGGTGTGTTTGGGGCACACTGGCCCACAAAGAACTGTTCAGCAAATGCACAAGTGCCAGGATACACACATACTTGTCTACACATAGACACTGTCTCACGCGCACACACAAACACCCCAGCAATTTTTCCTGCTGGGTTCACAGTGGTAGGGAAGATAAACGCTTAATATATAACCTGCCTTAGACCAGTTCAGCTTTTGGGCTTAACATATTTAAATGCATCCAACTTCAAAATTGTACCAGGTTCTTTTAAATGATAAAGAAATGCAGGGAAAGATTGTTATACCACACACGTTTACATAAGGTAGAAGTCTTCACAGTTTGCATGTTGAACTAGGTCTATAGTTCATATTCTAGATTCATATTCTTATTTAGGTGTGACACTTATGGAGTGATTTTAGGCTAATTGGCTGAGTCAAGGAATGTTGTGTGTGAAGCTGGAAGAAAAGTACATACGACGCCCTGGCCAACTTGGTGGAAGGGTGACTTAGAAACCTAACAGGTGGTCTGAGGTGTCTGTGCACTTCCCGTGCCTGAGCAAGATAAAAGCCTTCATCTTCTTTAACTTACCCTGGCTCACTTACTGGCAGTTAACCTTTTTAGCCCAAGGGGTACCTATTTGGGGTTTTGGAAGCTTCCAAACAGTGCTTTGCTTCAACAAAACTTCAAACAAAGCAACCCTCAGAGCTGCTTCAAAGCAAAAGTGGTCCCTTTACTTCTAAGACTGAAATGAAGCAACCATGTTGCACTGCTTTTGTCTGCTTCAGGGCCTACCCTACAGCGCTACCTCAGGAGACTCAAAGCTGGGTAGTTCCGCAAAGCCCCACCCTCCCACCTATGTTTGGTCCGCCTCCTCTGGTCCGCGATTGGTGGCTTCAGCATGTATGCCTTGTGATGATGGGGACAGAGGAACTGCCAATCACAGGAGGGCAATGCATGGCACCTCCTCCCAAGTCATATTTTAGCAAGAGAAGTAAACAGGAGGAGTGGGATTTGGCAGGGATAGGTAGAAGAAAAGGCCTGAGGAAAACTCAGTCTGGCCTGGGAATACCCCCCATCCCAGGAGACAGGTTAATAATATTTTTAGTTCTGCTGTAGGCTAGGATTGATGGGATATAGATCCTTTATAAAGGATCAGACTTCACAGATTACAATTATCTTTTCTAAAGAAAAACCCATAGCGGTTTGTGGCACTATACATGAACTAAATGGTAATATAACTACTGTATACTATTATATTAAAAAACTATACACTATAAAAATATATAAAATAAACTATATAAGAAAGAGAAAAAGGGAAAAAAAGGTAAAAACCCTATATTATTATCTACTATTTTATATATATACATACATACATACATATATATAATATACTATTAGAGAAAAAAACTCTAGAAAATAGGAATATAAAAGAAAAGAAAACTATAAGCAACTAAGCAAATTGAAAACTCAAAAAATCCCTGCATTGTAGCCAATGTTTGTGTGTGTATACACACACACGCCCATTTAAAGAAAATATCTATTTATATCTATCAGACTATTAAATTAAATATGTTTCTTTGATTTTTTCCCCAGAGCTTTGACTCTATTTTAAACAGACTCAATGCACTTTGAATTGTATTGTCTGGTCTTTCCCTCTTCAGTATAAAGCCAATTCAAATTGACAAATTTCATTAAGCCAACATTCAGAGTCCAAGACACAAGCATCCTTCTATTTAGTACATAATCAAAAGCATCCTTCCATTTAGTACATAATCACATTTGGGGCAACAGTCCAAGGCTCCATATATTTAATGTTCTTCACAGATGGAAAGATTCCAGATTTGGGGAATGAAATGTAACAAAACATTGATATATTTAACCTTTAGCTGCCTTTAAGAACCCTGTTCACCGTAACAATAATGTCTAACCAATAAGGAATTTTAAGCAGACATGCCCATCACAGACAGTATAGCTACCCCTACATCTTTCCCACCTTCCACCCCCTTATGTTACTTTAGAGATTTAAATAATTTTCAACCCAGAAAAAGTTTAGTGATGGCAGCAGAGAAAAAACAAACAATACCCACAACAAGAAAAGTACACAACAGAAACTATCTAGCTGGAGTCCCTCTGCAGGTTGTCCAGGATAGGTGACTTTACATGGACAGCAATTCCAAAGCTGCCACTTTAGAAGCATTTTAGCCAGTGCTGGGAAATAAGACTGATCTGGTCTCCAGCAGCTTTGATCTGATGCAGTTCAAAGCTTTCCAAATTGCTTCAACAAGATGAACTGGGTGGCCTCTCTGATTCAGTGAACTGAATCAGGTCACCTCCATAGCCCAAATAGCTTTGTCAAAGCAAATTTTATTTGCTTTGCACTGGCTCATGGTGGTGCACCAGGGATTGTGTATATACCAATACAGTTCTTGGGCACTCACACAAAGGAAAGGGTCTTTTCCTACCCTGCCAATACAACCAGGAGTGTTAGGCAACTAGGCCCAACATTAATAACATAATTTTGTACATGCTGGTGTACAACAACCAGTACAATCACATCTGATATGCATATACAGGTGTGCATTTGTACAAGAGCCACTGGTTACCCCAATCCCATGGCCCTTATTTTGCTGTCATAACCAACTTTGGAGCACTAGATTGTTTTTGCCCACTGAGGGCTCTGTTTTCAAGACATGAGCTACCTCTGGGTGCAGAGAATCCCTCTTCACCTAATTCCCACTGCTGTCCCGATTGGCTGCTCTTCCTCTTGCATCACCATTACTTGGTGCTGCCTTTCTCTGCTTCCAGCCAGGTGCTGTGCAACCCCCTGCTTCCCGCATCAGAAGAATCATTCCAGGTGAGCACCACTCAGCCACCCACCACTATCCTTCCACTGCAGAATCAGCCAGGACTGCTTTAGTGCTGCACCTTATTACCTGGCATGGGGAAAGGCTAGAGAAGATTGGCAGGCAGATGCAAGGACAGAGCAAGAGAAAAAGGATGAGGAGACTGGGACATTTGCATTTAACGACTCATTTGCATGAACTGGACCAAACTGTCTAGCTAACAGCCCTGATTGTCTCTGTGACTGCTAGGAAAAGGAAGTTGAAAGCTCTCATTCTCCACTCATCTGTCCCCTTCTAACATATCAAAGCTAGAGTCCCAATAACCATTAAGTAAAAAAGACAGAGCATCATATGCTCTAGCTTCTGTTCTGTTAGGTCCCTATGAACGCCAGGCCTTACAGGTGTTGAAAAGCCCCAAAACCACAGAGCTCACTGTACAAAATCCAGTATGTGATTCTTTGATTTCTTGACCGAGAAGACTCTAGAGGCACACACTTTTCAAGGAATCAATAGAAGCAGCAATGATCATTATGTTTGTCAGGGGACTGGGACAGGAAGGCAGGATCAGGAGAGTTGTGGCAACTGAAGGACTGTAGGCATCTTAAGAGCAAGAAGTTCTCAAATTATGTTGCAATGCTTCTGCCAATCTGCAGCCTCTGTTGTGCTTCCAATTACCCAGCCGCTGTTGGTTTTGTCCTCCATGTTGACCCAGCAGAGTTTCTTCTATATTTATCTCAGTTCTTCTGTTAAATCACAGGAAGAACTCTACCCACACATTATTTGGACTAGTCCTTTGATAACTCCTACAAAGCCTTTGATCCCTTATTTAAGAAGCTGAGATGAGAAGGAAAACAAAGGCCAAGGAGAATGATCCTCTCAACAGAGAAACAAAAAGTTAGCAAAAATTGGAGATTGGAAGCTAGCAAATTGACGGATCTCAAGTTGTCTCTCTCCTCCCCTGTAATATATGCTGTAACTGAGACACATTTTCATCAGTTATGGTGCCATTGGTAGCCAGTGATGTGGAAACAACGCATCCATCACTACCTGTTACAGGGAAGAACTTGGCCTACAGCTGATGCTTTTTGGAAAAAAAAAACATTTTAAAAGGATAAAAAAACCAACAGCTCTTTCAACAGTGCTTGTACTCACTTATCTCCAGGCAGGAAGAGGCCACTCAACACACCATCCTTCTCAACTTTGCACACAACTGATGCTTCTTCTGAGCTGTGGTTACTTTCAATGGCACTGTCCATATCAGACTCATGGTGGACTTCCTGCTGGGCCAGGGTCATGGTATCTTCATCAGGAAACAGATCTGATTCACTGAAGGCACTTTCACGGTCTAGATAGCTACTCTCTGGGACTTCAGTGCCCTAGCAAAGGAAAATAAATAGGAAGAGAAGGGTCAGCAAGCATGTGGCATTGCTCAAAGACTGAGGTAGGTGGTAGTAATCATGGAATGGGTAGAAGTTCCAAAGCTCAACCTTTTATGCAATGAAATTTAACTGGCACAGGATTTGCTTTGGCACTGCTGAAGAATCAGAGTTTCACTCTCATTTTAGATGGAAAAGCATTAGAGGAATTTTATTTCTCTGCCAGCTTGTCAGGAGAGAAAAGCATATTTATCTAATCTGGGTTCCAACACAGAGGAAGCATATCTTGACTTTTTTGGAGGAGAGGGTGAGTTAGCATATGGCTTGAATTTTCACTGGACTAATGAAGTACACAAAAGTCCCCTGAATAAAGAGGGGAATATGCCATGGGTATTACAAATCAATGTTTGTTCCTGCTCTCTGGCTTCAGTCTGCAGTATGTGCATCAGATGGAGTGCTGTTAACATATTCAACAGCCTGTACAGGGCAATAGAGTTACATTTTGCAACTCTCTGCTCTCTTACACCTTGTAAATCCAGGATTATACAAGAAGGGTCAATTCCCAAGTTCCTTCATAAAAGGAAGATTACAACCTCCCCACCCCCCCACTTCAAGTCACATTTAACTGGGACTGTCAAAGAATGTACCTACAGGCCTGATTTAAAACATGTTGCTTGTAAAACCACCCTACCAGACCTGCCAACTCTCCAGTTTACTGATCTTCATCTCTGACAAGCTTTACAGAGCTATAAATTAGGAGGGTAAAAAGTATGCCCCCTCCGCCTCATTTAACCCCATGTGGGCTTAGCACTTTTTTCTTTTGCATTTTTTAAAAAATCTACGGGTGGGTTTAAGCAGCAAGATGAGTACACTGAGCCTTGCACAGACTTAAGACAACATTAACCTTTCCCATGCCTCAGAACTCAGGTTGATATTCCCCTTTTTTATATACTAAGGTATTTTAAGGGATAAAATGGGTACCTTAAGCTTCTGCTCCTTAAAATCCAACAAATCCTCCCAAAACGGGCCTATAGGGACTTCCCTCTTTTATTTGCTCAGGAAGGGAGAGAGGGAGAGACGTACAGCACGGCACTTTCCCCCTCCTTGTCAGTCAGTTAGGTGTCATCAAGCCAGGCTGTGCTCTGAGTAGAAGGCTGCAAGTCCTCTTTCCTCTTAACAAAAGAAGCCCCACTGGAGTTTATCAGGCTTACTTCTGTGTAAACATATATAGGACTCTGTACTTTTCAGCTCCTTCTCTCTCACTTCGGACACTTGAAGTGGGCACTAAGAAAGGCCTTTGCCAGACTGACGTCCTCAGATATTAGGCCCATAATACGCCAAACCAGTAGTCAGATAATCAATGAAGTTGCAAGTAAGTAAATAAGTATAGGTCGTCCTTGTTTCATGACCACAATGGGGACTGGCAACTCAGTCGTTAAGCAAAGCAGTTGTTAAGTGAAACCATGACTGTGCTTACAATCTTACTTCAGCTTTCCTTTGCTTTGCAGACCTGCAAAGATCGTAAATGCGGGCATTGGTTGCAAACATACTCTTTCATCACCATCTTAACTGGAAATGGTCGCTGTCCAGGGCAGTTGCTAAACAAGGACTACCTATAAGTACAGGGGGTGTGTGTGTGTGTGTGTGTGTATCTGTATCTATATCTATATGTCTATATATCTATATCTATCTAATCTTAGTACTAAATGTTTTTCATTTCAGATTTCACATGCTTCAGAATACACTTACTGTATATCCTAGTGATTTTCCCATGCAAGTTAAATAAGATAAAATGAGCAAATCTTGTAACTAAATTTCAAAATGTACTGTAACAAACTGCTAGACAGCAAGTTCTTATCTGCCCATTTCCCGGGCAGACTGTCAACAAAACCATTAATGGGAGGCCAACATCTAAAACATTAAAATAAGCAAAACTGGTTAGAGGAATGGACACATTTTTATTCAGGTTCAAATGTATGCCAAAGATTAGGGAAAAAACTGCCAGTCCAAGAAGTTGATAGCATGGTAAGAAACAGTGTCAAGAAAGCTGTTAGGGAAAAAAAGGATTCTCTAAGCAAGGCGATGAAAAAGAAACACACAGGAACATAAAAACGGCCTTGCTGGGTCACTCCAGGGCCCATCTTGGTTTCTCACAGGGCCAACCAGATGCCTCTGAGGTGCTTCCAAAAAGAGACATACCAGATACTTACAGTTTTTAAGGGGGAAATTTTTGATGTAAACATAGTAACTAGAAGCAATTTTAATGTTTATAAATAATCTGATGTAATCACCAGTTGGGTGCAATGGGAGGGAATCTAGAACTTAATACTGTTTTTACTTATTGTTTTTAGTATTTATTTGTCATCTTTCTTCTTTTATAAGATCATGTACTTTTATTTTAGTTAATGATAAATAGTGACATCAATATAAATATTAATGTTTAGAGTTCTGTAGTGATTTTCAATAATTTCTAAAGATGATGGTCTAGTTTTATATATTCAATTAATCATTTAATCAATGAAATAAGAAAATAATTAATTTTAAATTTTGACAATTATAAATTCTCTTATTTACTGATATTTTATTTTCCATCCATTATGTCCTTTTTCATTTTTTCTTTTATGTAGTCATTTCATTCCTTAAATGTTAAAAAAAAATTAAAATGTTCATAAAAAAAAAAAGGAGATAGAGACATACCTATCTTCTCCAATTGTTCCTCTATAACTGGTACATATTTGGAGGCAGGCTTTCTCCAACCCAGTGGTAATACAGAATTTTCAAGACTAACAGCCCTTGACAGACCTGTCCTCCATAAATTTCTCCAGTCCCCAGTTAAGTCATCCAAGTAAGCAGTCACTGCTATATCTTGGGGTAATGAATCCCACAAATTAATTATATGCTTAGAGGAGGATTATGTTCTTTTGTCAATCCATCATTGGATAATCCCCATCTTAGTATTCAAGAGAGAGGAACAGATACCTCTTCTTATCCTGTGAGGGTGTAGTGTACTCAAGAGCCTTTAGTGAGAAATTTTGATGAGGAACCCAAACTTGTTTGAAGAAACAGAAGACAACAAAAGAAATGTTAACAAAGATTGGGAAGTGCATATCATGACTCATGTTAGGGCGCAACAGAGAAAAAGATAACTCAGTTATGGTTGAACCACTAGAAATGGAAGAGTTGTAAAGGAAGATAAGGAGATTACAAAAAACCTTAATGAACTAAGTCATCACTGAAGAAGATGTAAGGTGGATTAACTGTGCCTAGATTGACATGTTCAGGGTAGGATTCTGAGGAACTGTGATAAACACAGGTGATAACAGACCTTCTGGCAAGTTGAAAACAAACATCACCAGGTCCAGATAGTATCCTCCTAAGAATCCCTGAAGAACTGAAATCACTACTCTTCTAACAAAAAATGTAACATATAACTAAGGACTGAAAAACATTTAACGTAATATCAGTTTTTAAATGAGCAACCAACAGATTGATGCTTTTTTAAACAAAGCATGGAACATTACACGGTATGCATTCATTGTGGATAAACTAGTAGAAGGTGCTATTTAAAAAATCTTAGGTACAAAGAGAAAAGTTTTTTGAAGTAGAATTAATTTGGCTATTGGAAAAATCCTGTCTCACTAAGTGTTGAGTTTCTTAGAGTGTTGATAAGCATGCAGATAGGGATATCCCAGTATTTATTTGTTCAATCTCCTGAACAAATATAGCAGCCATTGGACAAGAGACACCCTTTTAAAGACAAATTACTTCTTAAAAAATAGAAAGTAAAGAATCAATATAGATGGAGAATCTCAGGCCTACAAAGATGTCTCCTGGGAGGGTGCTTTTCTAAAGCTGTTCACACATTATCTAGAATAGTGTTTCTCAACCTTGGCAACTTGAAGAGGTGTGGACTTCAGCTCCCAGAATTCCCCTTGCCTGCTTCCTAGGGCTGAGAGAGGGGGACTGGCCCAAGGTCACCCAGCTGACTTTGTGCCTAAGGCAGAATTTGAACTCATGTTCTCCTGGTTTCTAGCCTGACACCTTAAATATTCTGGCAATTCTTCTCTGCATTACCATGTTCACTTCCCAGATGAGGGAGGAGCTGATATGCTTTTTGCTGCACTTTAGCACTCCACTTGTGAATGGCCAGGGGATGAACTTGCAGGTACCAGATATGCTAAGACTATTGATGCTTTTGAATTTTGGTGCTGGAGAAGACTCCTGAGAATACCATGGATAACCAAGGAAACAAAGAAATGGATCATTAAACAAATCAACCCAGAGTTCTTACATGAGGCACAAATGACCAGGCTCAAATTATCCTACTCTGGACATACTATGCAAAGACCTAGCTCTTTAGAGAAGACTCTAATAATCAGAATTATGGAAGGAAAGAGAAGAGGAGGATGACAAGCAACAAGGTGGATGGACTCAGTCACTGTGGCGATGAGTGCACCATTGGAAGACCTGAAAAACCAGGTTAGCAATAGATCGTCATGGAAAAAATCTATCTATGTAGTCGCTAAGTGTCAGCACCAGCTTGATGGCACATCAATCGATCAATCGACCAATCAATCAAGAGACTGGGGGAGAGAGGTGTTTGTATGAATATAGAAGACGATCATACAAACATTCTGATTCTTGGCAGGATCCTGTTTGTTGTCGAGAGGAAGAATAAAGTCAAAGGGTCCTATCCCTGGGCCCAGGTTGGAAAAGGAGAAGACCTCCCCTCTTCTTTAAGGACAAGTTCCAAGTTGATGAAACTGTCACCTAGAGGGGCCCTCCTGTACTGTATCACCAAGCTTCCAGCCCCCATATTACCATTTCCTACAATATCCCAGCTGCTCAGGGACACTATAGGACATTTCACATGGTAACTCATAGTTAAGCCAGCCAGCACAGAGTTCTAGAACAGGTGACACCCCAAAATGCTTTTGCATTTCTAAAGGATTTTGGAAGACACCTGATGCTGCCATTAGCCCTGGTAAAAATTTATCACT